TACACAGCCAATCTGGGTTTGGTCCCCAGCACCCCATATAGTCCCCTGAGCACCACCAAGGGTGATTCCTGAGTACAGAGCCAGGAGCAAGCCCTGAGTACTGCTAGGTGTGGCCCCAAATAAGGCGGTGTGTGTGGGGGGAATGACAACAGAAATGGGGCTTGAAAGAGAGCTCATGCTTTGCTCATGCAGAAGACCTGATCCCTGGCACCACATGGCCCTTTGAACACCCGTGAGCACTGAGTCCTGATCACTGAGTCAGGAGTCGTCCCTGAGTACCACCACCATAACCAGGTGTCAACACCTCCAGCAATCCCCACCAAAAGATGATAGAAACCCATTTTCTCCTATATAAGAGGCTAGAAGCCCATTCCCCAGTGTGAGCAGGGCAGTGTCCCTTCTGTGGACTGCAGGAAGCTGCCCCCTTGCCTCTTCCATAGGTTTCTGGTAACAGGATAAACCAATCTCTGCCTCTATCTTCGCTTGCCGCCTTCCTTTGTGTTTTTCCATGGCAGCTCTCCCATGAGCTTTTGTCCAAATCCTCCTCTGATAAGTATGCCAATCGCTGGACCAGGGCCAACTCCACCCAGAACAACATATGTCATTGGAGCTTCATGACAGTCCCACTTTTTTTTTTTTTTTTTTTTTTTTTTTTGCTTTTTGGGCCACACCCAGCTATGTTTGGAGTTTACTCCTGGCTCTGCACTCAGGAATCACTATTGGTGGTGCTTGGGGAAACCATATGGGATGTCAAGGATTGAACCCAGGTCGGCCACATGCAGGGCAAATGCCTGCCCACTGTACTATCACTCCGGCACCCTACACCCCCACTTCTAAACAAGGCCTATTCAAAGGTGCTGGGGGTAGGATTTCAGCATCTTTTTTGGGGACACACAGTACTCCCCACTTAGACAACAATAATAAACAATAGTAATAAATAAGAGAAATAAGGAAATTGTAGAGTGGGGAGCAGGGACCATTTGCTAAGGTATAAAATGGAGCAGGCAGGAGTGGCAAATGTTTGGGGTATTACTGTCATGACAATTTTAGGCAGGGAGGCCAGGGAGGGCATGGTGACATTTGAGTGAAGTCTTAAAAAGGGAGTAGGGCGTTTGCCTTGCACGTGGTTGATCCGGGTTCAATTCCCAGCATCTCCCAAGCACCGCCAGGGGTAGTTCCTGAGTGCAGAGCCAAGAGCAACCCCTGAGCATCTCTGTGTGTGACACAAAAAGAAAAAAAAGGGGTGTGAACCATGTGAGAAGCCTGGAGGAAGGAGTAACCAGGCAAGGGAGCACCTGTGCAAGGCATGAGAGTAGCTGCAAATCTCAGGGTCTTTACAGAGGCTCTGCAGCTGGAGAGCAAAGGGAGAAAATTAGGTCAGATAGGTGATTGGGGTTGGGGGCCCAGCTCACACAGAAGGTCAGAGGATATGCGAGTTCCAAGTTATAACCTTCTATCACAGGGTAAGGCCAGTCACAAGATTCTGGTTATTTCAGGGGCTTAGTGCATGCTTCTTTTGTTTTGGGTGGGGCGGGGAAGTCACACCTGGTGGTGCTCAGAGCTTTCTTCTGATTCTGGCAGTGTTCAGTGGTGTCTGGGGACCACATGTGGTGCTGGGGATAGTACAGGGTTGCCTTGCTTGCAAGAAAATGCTTTTATTATTTGTTTGTTTGTTTGTTTGTTTTTGGGCCACATCTGGTTGGTGCTCAGTAGTTACTCCTGGTTCTGCATTCAGGAATAATTTCTGGTGGGATTATGGGATACTGGGGATCAAACCTGGGTCTGCTGCATGCAAACGTAAGTGTCCTCCCTGCTGTGCTATCATCACTTCAATTCTGCAAGGCAAATGACTTTACCCTTGCACTATCTTTGGCCCAAGAGCACAGTCTTTGCTGGAAGGAAGTCTTGGTTCCATCCCTAGCAACTCACATTCCCTGGATCACTGCCAAAAGCAACTCCTGAGCACTGAGTAGACCCTGAGTATCACAGATGTGGCCAAAAACACTGTCACTGTCATCCTGTTGTTCAATGATTTGCTCTAGTGGGCACCAGTAACATCTCCATTCATCCCAGCCCTGAGATTTTAGCAGCCTCTCCTTACTCGTCCTTCCCAACAGTGTCATATTGGAGGCTCTTTCAGGGTCAGGGGAATGAGACCTGCCAAAAACATGCAAACAAAAATGATCCTGATTTTTCTCTTCTTGCCTGTCAGACATTTATGCCATTGGGGTGGGAAAGCTGGATGTGGACTGGAAAGAACTGAATGATCTGGCCTCCAAGAAGGACGGAGAGAGACACGCGTTCATTCTGCAGGACACACAGGCTCTGCTCCAGGTCTTTGAGCACATGCTGGGTGAGTGAGCGGACCCGCTCTAGAGTGGAGTGCGGACTAAGCAGCCAGCAGGGGGCCTGGGCACCTGTTCCTCATGCCGCTCACTTGCTGCTTCTGTCCCTGCTCGTCACACCCTCAGATGTCTCCAAGCTCACAGATGTCATCTGTGGGGTGGGGAACATGTCCACCAACGCCTCTGACCAGGAAAGGACTCCCTGGCATGTCACTATCAAGGTACTGGGAGGGAGGGCGGGGTCTTGGAGCCCACAGATGGGTCAGACATGCAGCAGGACCTTGAAGGTCCCCTGTTCCCCTGCAGCCCAAAGGCCAGGCCACCTGCCGGGGGACCCTCATCTCTGACCAGTGGGTCCTCACTGCCGCCCACTGCCTGCGTGATAACGAGGACCACAGCCTGTGGCGGGTCAGTGTGGGTAAGGCTGGGCTACTCCAGGGTTCCTGAGTTCCTGCTTGACTGGAGAACGTGGACCCACTTACCTTCATTCTGCCTGCTGTTCCCAGGAGATCCCAACTCCCATTATGGCCAAGAGTTCCAGGTTGAGAAGAAAGTAATCTCTTCGGGGTTCAATGTCCGAGCCAAGGAGGCCCAGGGGATCCGGGAGTTCTACGGTGATGACATTGCCCTGCTGAAGCTGGAGAAGAAAGTGAAGATGTCCACCCATGCCAGGTTGCCCGCTCTGCAACAGGAGTACACTCTGCCCGGGGAGACTTCCGGGCTGCCCCAGGGAAGAGGGGACCAAGGATGGGCCTGTATAACCCTCCCCCTTTCTTTCCAGGCCCATCTGCCTCCCCTGCACAGTGGGGGCCAATCTTGCTCTGCGGAGACCCCTGGGCAGCACCTGCCGAGACCATGGTGCGTGCGGGACCAGGACACGGGCAGGGTGACAACTGGGCTGTGCAGCAGTTTCAAGTCTAGATTCAAGGGACCAGCGCAGCGGGAGGGCACTTGTCTTGCACATGGCTGACCAGGGTTCAATCCCCGGCATCCCATATGGTCCCTTGAGCACTGCCAGGAGTTACTCCCGAATGCAGAGCCAGGAATAACCCCTGAGCACCTCTGGGTGTGGTCTACAAGCAAACCAACCAAGTCTAGACTCCAGCTAGGGAGAGAGACAAATACCAACACCCCCTTCCTGACTGCAGAGAAAGACCTTCTGAACCAGCTGAGTGTTCCTGCTCACTTTGTGGCCCTGGATGGGAAATCACTGAACATTCGCCTCAAGACGGGGTCAGAGGTGAGGGTCTCAGGCTAGGATGTTGAGCAGGGATGAGGGGACGCATCTCTGGGGGCAATTCCTAGAATCTCATCCTCTTCCAGCTCCGGTGTTCTCCTCTAGCTAACCCCCAATCACTCATACCCTCCCAGCCCCCTCACCATACCTAATTGGACTGCCCGGAGCCCCCCATCTGCTCCTCCCATCCTTCTCCCCTGCTCTATTTGCTACAGTGGACGAACTGTATCCAGCCTGTCTCCAAAGACAAGATCTGGTTTCCCAACTTGTCAGATGTCAGTGAGGTGGTGACAGACCAGTTCCTATGCAGTGGGAGCGAGAAAATGGAGGATCATCCCTGCAGGGGTGAGCCCTTATGCAGTCTTATTGTGGAGAGCCTCCTGGGACACTGAGGCCAGCTCCAGAGCCAAGTCCTGACACACGGTCCCTGAGTGGAGAACGGGGCAGGGTTGCAGTGACACTTCTCTCTCTCCTTCCCCACAGGAGAATCCGGGGGAGCCATTTATCTCGAGAAGAGATTCCGCTTTTTTCAGGTGAGGTGAACAGGAGTTGCTGGCAAGATGTTGGCCGTGTTGGGGACAAGGAGGCTGATGAAGGAACTTGGGGGGTTGGACTGGGAGTCGGGGGACAGCAACTTCCGCCGGCCCTTACATTTTCCCCTTGTAGGTGGGCCTGGTGAGCTGGGGTCTCTACAATCCCTGTGAAGACGGCAAGAGAGACCCCAACAAGAAGGTCCCGGCTTCCAGGATCCCGCGAGATTTCCACATCAACCTCTTCCGCCTGCAGCCCTGGCTGAGGCAGCACCTGGCGGGGGTCCTGAACTTCCTGCCCCTGTAATGGAGGGGCTCACAATGCTGCTGGCCAGCCTGGGCCTCCCTGCCCCCAGCTCTGCACTTCCACCCTCATTCTGAGTACTGTGTCCACCCTAGCCTCCAGGATGCTGGGGGCACCCCCTTGACTGCCAGCCACCCCACCCTACCTTGACTCTTTCCTTTCACTTTCACAGAGAATTTCCCAGTTATGAAACAAATAAAAATCACAGGTTTCCACATGGGCCCATGTCTCTCTGGGGAGGGGTGGCGAATTCCAGGAAGTATGTCAGGCAGGTCAGAGACCCCGCTGGACAAACACTAGCTGGACTCTGCTCCCAGCAGCACCCGCCATCCGGGGGCCACTGGAGTTTGCTCCTTTCTGTTGGGTTTCTGGGGTTTAATGGGGGGACCTTGAGAGTGTGTGAGAAGAGCACTGAGAAGGTGTGAGCAGAGCCCCAGGGGGTGGGACTCAATAGTTTCTATTTCCTGGCTGAGGGCAGTGGGGGAGGGGGGGGCTCTCTCCTGGACATTCCCGAAAGTGATGTGGGCTGGGCAGGCGGGGTGAGTGGAAGGTGCCAGAACACTGATTGCATAAAAGCCCAGGAGTTGTGGGAGGCGGGGACAGGGAAGAGCAGAGGCACCAGGTCTGAAGCGTACACAGAGCCAGGTGGGACAGACAGCCCCAACTTTTCTCCCGTCGCCATGGGGAGCAGCCTCCGCAACCCCCTCCGCCTGCTTCCCTTGTTCCTGGGGCTCTTGTCTGCAGGTAAGAGCCGGTGCAGCCTCAGCTTGCTCTCTGTGAGTCTGCACTTCAACCCTCCACCCTCTTTCTCTAGGTGTGAAGTCCCTGTCTGCTGTTCCACCCTCTTTCTCTAGGTGTGAAGTCACTGTCTGCTGTTACGCCCCAAGTTCGCTGCCCTCTGGAGGGAGTGGACATCATAGGGGGCTCCTACCTACTTCTCAGGGGGGGCCTGATGCTGGAGTACGAGTGTCCCTTTGGCTACTACGCCTACCCTGTGCAGGCCCGCACCTGCGGCAAAAATGGGGTCTGGAGCGACCTGAAGACTCAAGGCGAAAAGATCGTCAAAAAAGCTGAATGCAGAGGTTGGCGGGCAATGAGCATGGCACTGGAGGGTGGCAGGTGCAGCCCAGACTAGGATGAGAGTGGCCGTGTATTGAGATAAGGAGTCAGCTTGGACCAATCAATTGTTGTCAGGGCTGTGGGAGCTGGGGAGTACACCCAGCACCTGTCCATGTGGGAATGCTCAGAAACGGGCAGGGAGAAGCAGTGGGCCGGCTGCCCATGGGGTGAGGAAGCCTCCAGGGACTGAAAAACATGAGCTGTTTCTGTGGCATGGGAACTATTTCTCAGAGACAGGCTCCCAAGAGACCAGGAGGGCCCCCTAAGGGCAGCCCTGTCTTGGGTACTTATATTTGTCCCCTTTTCCCAAAGTCATTCACTGTCCAAGACCACAGGAATTTGAGAATGGGGAGTTCTGGCCCCAGGCCTCCTACTACAACGTGAGTGACCAGCTTCACTTCCGCTGCTACGACGGGTATACTCTACGGGGCTCTGCCAATCGTACCTGCCAAGCGAATGGGCGGTGGGATGGGCAGACGACCATCTGTGATGATGGAGGTGAGCAGCATCTCCCTTCCCGGGGAGTTGGCACCTGGCCTCTGGCTTGCTTTGTCCTCTGGGGACCTTGACCTTTGGTACTCACCTCCACGCCTCCCGTCTTCAGCGGCATACTGCCCCAACCCGGGCATCCCGGTTGGCATGAGGAAGGTGGGCAGCCAGTACCGCCTTGAAGACAGCGTCACCTACTACTGCCAACGGGGGCTCACTCTGCGCGGCTCCCAGCGGCGCACGTGCCTGGAAGGTGGCTCTTGGAGCGGAACAGAGCCTTCCTGCCAAGGTGGGCCCGTACCCAGTTACTCCCATGCTGCTGCCCCCCACCAGAGCACTGTCTGCCCCGTAATAGCCACTTCTCACTTCTAAACTCCTGGAGAGAACTTGCTCCTTTCTGAGCTCCTCGAAGCCCGGCAACCCACTTTCCCCTCTTTCTGATCAGCATCCCTGATGCACCCATGTGTCTCACCTAGTCTGTGACCTTCCCCCAGACTCCTTTATGTATGACAGCCCTCAAGAGGTGGCTGAAGCCTTCCTGTCTTCGCTGACCGAGACCATAGAAGGAGTGGAAGCTGAGGATGGGCACAGCCCAGGTTTGGAGGCAGGACAGGGGGTTGGGGGTGATGGAGAAGGGCCAAGAAACTCACATGAACCACAGCCTGAGTCGTTCTGGTAAAATCCAGGGGAACTACAGAAAAGGAAGATTGTCCTGGACCCCTCGGGCTCCATGAACATCTACCTGGTGTTGGATGGATCAGACAGCATTGGGGCTGATAACTTTACGCGGGCCAAGAATTGCCTCAAAGAATTCATCGAGAAGGTGGGGTTCCCTGCCTCTGAATGGACCTCAAAGCTCTGCCAGAATTAGCTTTCTGATGATCCCTGCACACCTGGGCCATCTATTCTGTCCTCTTCCCCCTTTCTCCACACTAGGTGGTATTTTTTTTTTTTTGGTCACACCCAGCAACACTCAGGGGTTACTCCTAGTGGTGCTTGGGAGACCATCTGGGATGCTGGAGATCGAACCCAGGTCAGCTGCGTGTAAGGCAAATGCCCTACCCCCTGTGCTATCGTTCCAGCCCCCCACATTGGTTTCTTGAGTGCTCAGGTTTTTCTGAGCCCCAGGAAGATCAGCCGGTCCTTGGGCCATGGCTTTCCCTGTCGCATCAGAGACAATGGTTCCTCTCAACCCCAGTATTTGACTCCTGTTTCCTCTCACCCACAGGTGGCCAGTTATGGGGTAAAGCCCAGATACAGTCTCCTGACCTATGCTACGTACACTAATGTCTTGATTCGATTGTCGGAAGAACAAAGCAGCGATGCAGATTGGGTGACAAAAAGTCTCGATAAAATCAACTATGAAGGTTAGAGATCGGGGAAGGAAAGAGTGAGGGATCCACTGTTGAGCGAGGCCAAAAAGTCATTGAGGGTGTGGAGACGGTAGTGAGATTCTGAGGTTAGCCAGTGGGGTCACTGGGTGCAGGGAGGGGCGCGTAGTGGGAACCCTTTGGGGACTGAGATGGTCACTTTGGGTCAGGTCAGTGGGGTGACAACCCCCCAAATTTAAGATGTGGTATCTCACCTCAGCTGCTAGGCCTCTGGGGTTCATACTTTGTTTTGTTTGGAAGCCTAGGCAAGATGATCGCTTTCCTTCCCACAGATCACAAACAGAAGTCGGGGACGAATACCAAGAGGGCCCTGCAGGCTGTGTATAACATGATGAGCGGATACACAATAAACCACCCTGACTGGAACCGTACCCGCCATGTCATCATCCTCATTACAGACGGTCAGAGCTTTCTCCCGCGCCAACCCTCTCTTTGCAGCCTGTGGTCCTGAATTCACAAGTCACACACAGCACTCATGACTGAAGCCCTAAGTGCTGCTCAGGGCCACACAGACTGACTTTTCCTGGGGCCCTTCACAAGGAGAAAAATTTCTCCTCAGGTCTCTGTGACCTCCCCTCCCCACCCCATACTACCTATTCCCCCAACCCTCTTATCCAGCTTTGTGTCCTCTGCTTTTTGGGATCATACCCAGCGATGCTCAGGGGTTACTCCTGGCTCTGCACTCAGGAATTACTTCTGGCAGTGCTCCGGGGACCACATGGGATACTGAGAACTGAACCTGGGTCGGCCGCGTGCAAGGCAAATGCCCTACCTGTTATGCTAGCTCCAGCCCGTGTCCCCTGCTTTTTCACCTACCCATCTATCTTCCCCAACCCCTCACTCCCTTGCCTCCCTGAGTCACCATCTCATTTCTTATGCAGGTCTACACAACATGGGTGGGGATCCAGTCCCCATTATCCAAGATATCCGGAGGCTGCTGGACATTGGCATTAACCACAAAAGAAGCAGGGAAGATTATCTGGGTGAGTGGGTGCACCTGATTTTCTCACCTCAATTCCTAGCTGACCCTACCCTCACAGACATGACAGTCACTTTTTCCCTCCTACAGATGTCTACGTGTTTGGAGTTGGGCCTCTGGTGAGCGAACAGAACCTCAATGCTTTAGCTTCCAAGAAGGATAACGAACAACATTTGTTCAGAGTCAAGGACATGGAAAATCTGGAGAATGTCTTTACCAAAATGCTTGGTATGAAGATACCAGAAGGGAATAAGCGGACGGTGTAGAAACTCAGCTTGCCCATGTCCCCCAAATTCTCACATCTTTCTTCCTCTCTGCAGCCCTGGCTTTTATCATTCAATCTCAGTGTCACTTCATTTCCTGTCACTGCTCCAGGTTCTGAGAATCAGAAAGTAGAGGTCTTTCTCAAGCCCTCATTGTACAGATGTTTAAATCAAGGCCAGGAGAGATCAAGGGACAACAAATGAGTAAGAGTCAGGTCTGAAAACAGCCAAGTCTGTACTCTTAGTCCCAAGTCCCTTCCACTATATTCTGGAGGTTCCCTGTTCAATGGAACCATGCCCACTAGGCCTTTGTTCCTTTTGCACAAGTGTTATCCACTCCCAGCCTCAGGAATGAAACAGCCACAGCTCTCAGCACATTCTCCTTTCTTGCTAGATGAATCCAGGACTCTGGGTCTCTGTGGCATGGTTTGGAAGTACAAGCAACCATGGCAGGCCAAGATCTCAGTGACTGTAAGTAGAGTCCTGGGGGGCACTTAAGGGAGGCAACGTCACCATGAAATGGGGACTGGAGGTCAGAAATTTTCCAAGATTGTGGTATTGACAAAATTTGAACTTCTCCCTGCTCCCAGCGTCCTTCAACGGGACATGAGCAATGCATGGGGTCCATAGTATCCGAGTACTTTGTGCTGACAGCAGCACATTGCTTCACGGTGGAGGATCAGGCACATCAAATCAAGGTCAGCGTGGGTAAGTACGCCAACTGCCACCCGTCCTCAAAGTGCATTGATAGGGATGGGGATGATTTGAGTTAGGGACGATGTGGGGTTTAGGCAGGAGGCCTCCCACAGAGAAGTGGATTCAGAGGAATTCACTTTCCTACCTCAGAAAAGATGAGGAACTTGGAGATAGAAGAAGTTCTGTTTCACCCCAACTACAACATCTATGGGAAAAAAGCACAAGGAATCCCTGAATTTTACGACTATGATGTAGCCCTGGTCAAGCTCAAGAAGAGGCTCATATATGGAGAGTTTGTCAGGTGAGACCTCTGGGTCCCTGAAAACAGGCTGGGAAATGTAGGTCTGGAGTGTGGAGCCAGCTCATCGGCCACCATTTCCCCATCTCTCTCCTTACAGGCCCATTTGTCTCCCCTGCACTGAAGCAACAAGTCAAGCATTGAGGCTTCCTCTGAAGAGCACATGCCAACAACAGAGTAAGGCTTAGTTAAGCGAGTAGCACATGATGTAACTCCAAGAGACAATGAGCCGGGAGGGAACTGCAGGAGGGGATGATGCCCTGGCCACTCCCAAACTCTTAGGAAGAGGCTAAGGGACATTTGCTGATGACAGAGTAATGGAGAGATCGGTGGGCAATGACCCCTTCTCTGCTTTTTTTCCCAGTGAAACAGCTGCTCCCTGTAAAGGATGTCAAAGCTCTATTTGTGTCTGAGGAAAAGCAGCTGATGATTCAAAAGGAGGTCCTCATCAAGCATGGTGATAAAGTGAGAAATGCGGGATCCAAAGATCCTCTAGGCCTCAGTTCTCTTTGCAAGCTTTGTTCATGACCTTTCTCCCCCATGCTTCCCACCTCCCCTGCAGAGAGAAGAATGCGAGAAGGATGCTAAATTCGCCCCAGGCTATGGAAAGATCAAGCACTACTCTGAAGTGGTCACCCCCAGGTTCCTTTGCACTGGAGGGCTGTCTCCATACGCGGACCCCAACACTTGCAAAGGTGAGAGAAGGTTGTGCTCCAAGTTCGTGAGGCCCGAGGAACCTAAGGTCTTCTTAGGTTGTGCTCTAGATTCCTGAGGCCCGAGTCCTTTCTAGCTTCTTTCTCCCGTGTTCCCTTGCAGGTGATTCTGGTGGCCCCCTGTTTATTCACAAGAAGGGTCGCTTCATTCAAGTGAGTTTCTCCTTCCCTGCCTGAGAGGAGGTGGCAAGTTGTCACCATGCGCCAAGTAGGAGAGCTACTTGTGGCGGGAAAGGGAGGGCGAGGTGCCTCTCCTGTGGGCTAATCTCTGAACTAGCAAACTCAGGACTAGGGGTCTGGGCTGGGCACCAGAAAGGACTGAGCTGGGTCGGTCCTCAGCCTAATTCTCTTAGGTCAGCTCACATGTATCTGATAACTGCTTCCTGGGCTCGGGTAGGAATTCTAGCAGACTCTCCATGGTATCTCCTTGTCTGTCCAGGTTGGTGTGATCAGCTGGGGGGTAGTGGATGTCTGCAAAGAGAAGAGGGTGCCAAGGGAGAAAGCTGCACACGCCCGAGACTTTCACCTCAACCTCTTCCAAGTGCTTCCCTGGCTCAAGGAGAAACTCAAAAATGAGGGTCTGGACTTTCTCTGAGGGGTTTTCTGTTGGAACAGAAATTAAAACAGCTGCAACAACACCTGTGTTAAAGATCCTTTTGGGGTAAAGGGAGTGGGGAACGTGCACTGGTCATGGTGTTACAACTGAGATAAAATCCAAAAGCCGTTTTTAAAGGCTTAACCCCAACCCCAAATGCTGAAAGATCAGAGGCTGAGGGAGATGTGTGAGCTTCCTCCTCAGTGTTTTACTGAGACCAGTAAGGGGCAGATGAGGCACACAAAATCCAGCTCCACTCCCTAGAAGCCATCCTCGAGGTTTTCAATGAAGATATCATCACTGTAGACAATCTGGGTTCTCTTGTCCCGATGGCAACCCTTAGGGCTATTCTGGACGGCTAAGGAAGGAGAAAAGGATTAGTTAAGGCCTGAAGAAGAGCCAAGGTTAGACCTCAGGCCCTGAGTCTACCTTTCCCTGGCCCCTGGTCTCGGGCAGTCCGATTTCCACACTGCCCTCTGGTGGCCAGGATGTCTACCTCCTTTAGTCCCCTTACGTGTGAGGCTGCGAAACGCTGTGGGGCAACAAGTGTGAGCTGTTACTGTGGAACATGCAGATGTTGTGATCAATGTTTCATTCTTAAAAACAAAAACACCCAGAAAACCCCCAATGTTATTATCAAGACATGTGAATGACACTACCTAACCCCAGTGTATCAAAAATTAAAATAATCTTTGTTGTTTGCTGACAAGCTGATCATTTCTGAATACTTCCTTTTTTTATGCTGAACCTCGTTTAAGGTTCACTCCTTTGCCAGGGAAATCTACTCAGATAAAAGGGGTTAGTACTGAGAAACGTTATTAACCCCATCTGGAGAGCTTTGACCCCAAGCATTCTCCCCATGTTAAGCTATTCCTTACAGTAAGGGATGTCCCTCTCTTCAATCCACCTCCAAGTACCCCATCCCTGCAACCCTGGGATGAGGGACTCCATCCTCACCAGTCCCCATTCTCTTGACCATTGTATCTCAACGATGCCAACACTCCCTCCCTCAAAACTTCTTATCCACAAGCCCCAGTGGTGCTGTTTCCAGTCTGACGCTCCTCTTCTTGCCTCTCTAACTTTTAACTGAATATGTCAGAAGGTAACAAGGAACACAGCTTTCTTCCTCACACTTTCCCTGAATACTCCCTAAGCCCAGTTCTGGATCATTTCTTCTCCAAATTCAGTCTCCCCAGATTCATTTTCCAGTTTACCCTGTGAAGCAGTTGACACGACTACACTTTCAATTCTGTACCTCACCCAGACTTCAAATGCTTGTTTCAAAAATCCACTGTGCCTATACGTATAGGCCACAGGGAGGCTGCTCATCTTCTTCAACAACAACAACAACAAAATAAAATTTAAAAAAAGGGGGGGGCTGGAGCGATAGCACAGCAGGTAGGGCGTTTGCCTTGCATGTGGCCAACCCGGGTTTGATTCCCAGCATCCCATATGGTCCTCTGAGCACCGCCAGGAGTGATTCCTAAGTGCATGAGCCAGGAGGAACCTCTGTGCATCGGCAGGTGTTGACCCAAAAAGCAAAAAAAAAAAAAAAAAAAAAAAATCATCTTCCTCAACAACCTGACTCTGGTTTCCTCTCGCTCTATTTTAGTTACTCTCTTCCAAGTCACTTTTAATCCTTTTCTTCTCTGTGTTCTACAAGGGTCTGATGATTCTTCCCATTCCCACATCTTCCACATACATCCCAGTACCTCTAGCCAATCCAGGAAGAGAAAAGGCAGGGAGCTGTGGGGGACAGAAAGATGCCCATTCTTACCGAGGGAGCCCCAGACAGACTTGCCAGTGGCAGCATCCAGCATGGGCTGTTTCCGGGCAATGCTGACTTTGAGCTGTACAGATTCTACCTGGATTCCGTTGAGCTGAGGCAGAAGAGGGAGAGGGCAGAGGACGGGTGGAAATATTACAGACAAAGCAAACAATTTTTCAGGAGTTGCCATTCTAAAAGCAGGGATCTGAGAACATAAGGTATCCTGTGTGACCAGGGAGAGACTTTCCCTGTCAAGAGGAAATCATTTTCAACTTGCGCTCAGTATTTTAGAGAGAAAATAGGAGGATGGTAGGATAACAGATCCGGGAAGTCCCAACCTCAGCAACAGCCTGATCTGCTGACTCCATCTTTTCATAGGTGACGAAGGCACAGCTGGGATGAGAGAAAACAGAGTTAGTAGAGGGTCTGTGAACTCTGCTGGAAACAACCAAACCCAGTGCTAACAGGCCAATGGAGACAGGCTGGCTTGGCCCCATGCCCCTGTCCTGTCTTCTAACCCAAATCCTTGGAGATTCTGTCTTGCCCCATTGTCATCCTTACTTTCGGGGGGGGTCCATGGAGAGGTCAATGATGTTTCCAAATGGGGAGAAGGCTCCACGGAGGAGAGTGGGGGTCATATCTTCTCCATACACATAGAGGGTGTTCCCCTTCCGAGGGGCCCGACGTTCAGGGAACGAATCTGATCCTATTGGATGAGGAATGAGTCATAAGAGAGCCCCTACTGTAGGCAGCTGAGGAGACAGTCCAGAGAACAAGCTTAGCACATGCAGGATTGAGTTCAAGTCCTGGCACCACACCGGCCTCACGGGCACTCACTGCGGAAAGGGCCTTCTCGGTCTCTATCTCGATCCCGGTCTCGATCCCGTTCCCGGTCTCGGTCCCTGTCCCTGTCTCGATCCCGGTCTCGGTCCCGCTCCCGGTCTCGGTCCCGATCTCTGTCACGGTCCCGGTCCCGATCTCTGTCTCGGTCCCTGTTCCTCTCTCGACTTCGATCCCGACTATGGCTTCTGGGAGGAGAGGTCGAAGAACGGGCACCACCCCGTTCTTCATAGCCCCAGTCAAAGCTTCGAGGGGCACTGTCACCAGCTCCTGGGCCCTCTACTTCCTCCCCATCGGGCCCCAGCTCCCGGAGCCGATCACTGGAAGAAACAAAGCTGGGGAGAGAAAGACAGTGAAGATAAAAGGGAGACTTCACCTCCTCTCCCCCAGGCCGAAAACACATGCTCTCTGCAGCCCCAGCTTCCACTCCAGCTACAAACCTCCCACCAACCCAGAAAACCAACCTCCACGCGTCTACCAGGATCCCATTCTCTAACCCTCTAACCTCTCATACAGAGATTTCCTCTGGGGACGTCTGGATGACTGGAAAAGACAAAAAAAAGAGACCAGAGACAGTTGAGAGGAATCTGACTTGTGGCCCAAAATACATGGGTCTCATATTAATTGGGAAGCATTACCTCCTGCAGGTCGTCATCAGCAGATATACTCCTCTGGAATGGCTGGAAAGTAGGGACTGTCCCTTTCTCAGGATCCTGAGAAGGTGACAGAGACTCACCTCAGTGTGTGCAGAGGCTGCCCACCCATGGGACAGACAGGTTCGAGCCTATCTTTTATTTTTATTTAATTTTTGTTTTTTTTTGGGGTCACTCCTGGCAGTGTTTGGGGTACCAGACAGGATGCCTGGGATTAAAATCGAGTCGGCCTTGTATAAGGCAAATGCCATATCTGTTGTACTACCACTTTGCCTATGAGCCTTATCTTTTAAAAGAGGAAAGGTCCTCTTGGGCTGGAGCGCTAGTACAGCAGGTAGTGTATTTGCCTTGTACACAGCCATCTGGACTCCTGCCATCCCGTATGGATGAGGGCTGCCAGGAGTGATTCCTGAGTGCAGAGCCAGGAGTAACCCTTGAGCATCGCTGGATGTGTGGCCCAAACAGAAAACAAACAAAAAAGAAGAGGATTTCACTTTTAAAAGATAGGATTCCTCCAGGCTATCACTTAAAAAACAAACAAACAAAAAAATTCCATTGGATGTTTCTTATTTGATTATACAAGCATTTTTCATAAGCGTTCTCTAACAAGCACTTAGAGCCTTTTCAACTCCTTAGAGCCACACATTCTAAGAGTTCTCATGCACAGAAAATTAAAGTCATAGAATGAGCAAAATGGAGAAGAATTAAATTTTACAGATAATTTTCAGAAGAGCAGAGCAATTTTTCTCACAATAGGCATTATTTCCCCCAAGCCACTCATCCAACTTGGATGAATGCCCTCTGAAGCCAAGGACTCTCTGAACAATCTTTCTGCTCATGCTCACCTTCACCTTCCCCTCTAAGGTTCGAGAACGTTTGAAGCCTGAGTTCTTGTTCTCAGCCTTGATGGCACTGATGGCTCCTGACTTCACCAGCTGCTTTGCCTGCTCGGTTGCCGTGGCCGTGTCCACCACCGGCTGCTCTGACAGGGCTTGAGTGGCAAGGGAAAGAGGCAGGATATTGGACCAGCAGTGAGAGGTTGGCCACTTTCACACTTCCAGTTTATCCCAACTTTCCCTCTCACTCACAGCGCTTGACACCTCCTTGACTGGCTGTGTTGTTGCTACTTTGTTTCTTTAGAGCCAGCAATGCCTTTTTCTGGGAAAAAGAGTGAGAAGAAAAGGGTCAGTAAGGACCAGCCCCTAAAATACCCCCATCCCAAGCACTGGGTGACATCACTTCAAGAACACCGTTGTCAGAGAAAACAATGCAAATGTCTGCATCCCTGGGTGCTATAATGAGGCAGCCCTGTCTCTCATGTACAGTGCTCTCAGCCACCTACAATACCAATGATGCCTAATCCAACCAAACCATGGAAAGTAGAGGGGCCTAGAATCTTCCATTTCTAAAGATCACGACAAAGAATTCACTCATGGGTCAGATATAAGTACTCTGCTGGAAAGCTTTCTCTAGCCATCCTTGAATAAGAAGGCTACACCATTACATTATGACGAGAAAGAAAGAATGAGACGTAGTCTAAGTAGTTTAAAGAATTAGGCTAATCTCAAGAATAGTTAGGAGAGGTGGCTATTGCAGGCTTCAGACAGCAAGCAAGATTTTGCGTCCATAGATGTTACACTGCCCCCACCCAAACAACAAAGATAGAGAAAAACGGACATTTTAAGAATACAGGGTAGCAAAGCTGCAAAGATAAGAAGGCTTTGGGACAGCATGTGACGGACTAGCAAACAGCTGTGATTACAAAGGGAAGCCTTTCTTCGA